GCCTGCGTCGGCGTGCCTCAGCCTCAGCCTCAGCCTGCCTTGGCCTCAGCCTGCCTCGGCCTCAGCCTGCCTCAGCTCGGGCATTCAAAATATGGCACAGGACTGGTGTTCTGGGAACACGAAGATCACGAAGTGGCCCACAGTTGGCTCCGGGCAATCAAAATATGGTACAGGAACTGTGTTCCGGGAACAGTGGCCTACAGTTGGCTCCGGGCATTCAAAATGTGGCCTGGGAATTGTGCTCTGGGAACACGAAGAACACGAAGTGGCCTACAGTTGGCTCGTTTTGGGATCGGCGCTGTGTTCTCGTCGTTCAGAGTTGCGCTCTGGCCCCAGCGCGGACCATTCTTCGGGATCCGAGCAAGTTCTATCGTTGTCGCTCTCCTCACTTCTGCTCCTCCGCCTTCTCTTGCCCCCCCTGCTCCCCCCACGCCCTACACTCCAACCCCTGCTGCTGGTGTTCGTCCTCGTCCTCCTTCCTCCTCCCGCTTTTTCTCGCTCATCATCCTGCTCACCCGCCACCTCCTCCTGATCCACCTCCTATGTACGCGACTCCCCTTTATCCGATTGTGCATAACACGATGGTTGTTGCTTTTGAGTTATAGGTCGACTATTACACGTCTACGAATAGAGAAACCATCAGCAACATTGGAAGGGATATATATAGAGGGAGAGATATGACGTCAGATGTGGTGCGATCGCACCTGCTGGTCCTCCTCCATATCCTCCATCGCCCAGTAGTGCGAGCTTTCCACCTACGAAGTGACCACAGCAAGGTCGTACTAGATGTTTGACTGCAATGCCGCTCTAGCCGACGCGAAGCGGCCCCGAACGTGGCCCGACTGCTCGATCGATCGATCGATCCTTCTTCTCCTCCTTCCTTCCCCATCCTCAATGTGTCTCCTCGTCCTCCTCCGCCAGTCTGCAACGTGTGGAGCTTCGACCCCCACCCCACCCCTGCACGGGAGTCGTCCCGCATGATGCTGCGCACTCGAGGAGCTGGAGCGGCTCCTTCGGTTCCCCGACGGGGGCACAATCTCATGTCAGGAGGGGGGAAAATGACAAAGACAGAAGCAAACGTCGATTCCCAGGACACTAGGAAATGCAGGGGAAGAGGAACGTCCAGAACATGGCGAAAAACAGTGGGAACCCTGGGATTTGTTTCTGTTTGTTTGTGTGCCCCAGGGCTCCTTCAGAGCCCGCCGACTCAGAGACGACGACGACTGCGAACTCGTCGTCGACCTAGACGACGACGACGACGACGACGACGACGACGACGACGACGACGACGACGACGACGATGGCGACTGCGACGAGCCGGGCCTCTGCTGCAGTAGCCTCCCTGCCGACGCAAGCCGGCGGTCCCAGGCGGGGGGTTGTCCACATTCGGGAGTTGCCAAAGGTGCCCCTCGCCCTTGGCATCGCTCGGACGTGTGCGTTTTTTTCTCGGCGGGGACCATCTAGGAGCATCCTGGATCATCGAGCAAACAAATACACGCACGAAACCGAAAAAAGACACGGGAATGGACGTCCGAGCGATGGCAAGTCGCCCAAGGTGTCTCCCAGCCTTTCGCTCCCTTTTGGAGCTCCAGGGGGCCTTCTGGCCTCGTGAGGGATGCTCTGGGGGCCGTGGTCCCGCCTTGATAATCCTGGGGGCACCTTGGGCCAGGGACACTTCTAGCATTGTGGAAGTCGATGAATGGAGAGGAAGCATGCTACCAAATACTTTCCAGATGTTTGAGCTATGTTTCAAACATGCTTTAAACATGTTAAAGCCATGTTCGAAACATTGTTTACACATGTTTTACACATTTTAACACATCTTTATTTCAATGATCGGATTGTTAGAGTGTCCATTGTCATGGCATCCACAATTCCAGCAACACTCAACTCATCCCCAGTACGAATCAACCGAACTATAAACATGTCAAATAACAACCAACTCTATACACACAGTAGGCATGTATCAGCTTGTCACATCTACAGTAGAAGCAAATCTGAATCACACAAAAGAGATATCTGCCGAGGTCCTCGAAGATCGGTTCCCCTGGGCCGTGACCGTGAGTAAGCCGCCGCTTCGTACACGTGGCATGCCCCCAGTATCCCCTCAAAGAGGAGCAGGATGAGCAGGGAGCAGAGAGGGGAAGGAGAAAGGGCAGGATGCTGAAGGACGAGCAGGGAGCAGAAGGGAGGAGGAGAAGGAGGAGCAGAGAGGAGAAGGAGGAGCAGGGAACGCCTGAGGATGAGAAGGAGGATCAGAGTAAACCACACATGCATCAGCGATACTGCAACACACCATGCCGTCCCCAGTCCCCTCGTCATACGCATCTACGAGTTTTCCTTCCTACAGTAGGCACTTCTTTTCAGACACACTCACATTTGGGCCTGCCCTTGTGTCGAGGGCTCCGCTTTGGAAAAGGATTTGCTTGGAACACCTCTTGTGCATTGTTAACCAGGAGCGCGGGACACTGCGAGCATACAGTTGAAGGAGGTGTCCAGCGATATTCATATTCCGGAGAAGGACTGCCTCCCATGTGGTTTATTGCAGGGGTGGACCTACACGGTATTTTGGCGATTTCGTGGCCCGTTTTCGTTTCGTTTTCGTTTTGCGGCAAAGGTGGATTGAAGACAGAACGCGGGACAACGAAAACAACACGAAAGCGAGAAACACCGTTTAGGTTCAGCCTTGTTTTCTTGATTCACAAGCTGAAGTTCGTGGTCATGAACTTCGAGGAGGAAGCCTCAAGCAGCAGCCCCATGATGAAACAACACCGCCATGGCTCTGTGCAGCGCTACGTGCCTTGTAGTTTCGTTCTTGTGCATACGATCTCTCGCGAAACTTCCACGTCGAAAGAATAGTCCTCCATCCCGCTTGACGCTGCACTGAATCAGCGAGCGCGCGCGGAGCGGAAGCGAGATCTCCGCTTTGAAAGCGGTCAGTCCTCAATCCTTGAAATTGATGCCAAACGTTGAGACGAATGTGCGCGGCGCTAAGGCGAGAGCCACACTTTGTCAATTACCCCCTCCATCCGGAAAGCCAGCGAAACGTTGTCACACGACTGCTCACGGCGCTAAGCCGAGAGCTCCATTTTGAAAACGATCCGCCCTTCATCCGTGGAATTGGAACGTTCCAGATGCATGTTCGCGGCGCTAGAGCGAGAGCCGCATTTTGCAAAGCACCTTCTCCATCCGCGAAATTGCTGCAAACTGTGAATTAAGACGAATGTGCGCGGAGATACGGCGAGAACCACATGTTGCAAGCCATCCTCCTCCATCCGTGAAGCTGTCAAACTTTCAGATTTTGCGAGCAGAAGTGGGCAGGAAGTCTGAGGCGAAACGCCCTGCCCGCGCTGCCGACACACGTCTGGGGGTGCGTCAGGGAGGAGCCATTTAGAAGAAGAAGAAGAAGACGAATGATAAGCAGAAAAAGAAGAAGGAGGAGGAGGAGCAGGGACGGAGGAACAGGAGGTGGGAAGGGCGAGGAGGAATGTTTTGGAACGTTTTGATAAGCACAACGTGCAGAGGAAGGGGGGAAGAGGGCGGAGAGAAGAAAGCAGCACCCGCGGTGGTTGCCAAACAAATGGCAACCACCCCCCGGCCCTTCGACCCCTCCTCAAGGAGGGTGGCGAGTGGTCGCCAAAGGTGGCGGGGTGGTTGCTGCCGAGAGCCCTCCTCCCGCACGCTGTGCCAACGCGGCGCGACGAGGACCTCCACTGGCACTGCTGGCGCCGCAACCGCGAAGCGGGGACGCAGGAGGAGGACGAAGCACAGCAGGGGGAGCAGGCCCAGACCCCCGACGTCATGAGCTTGTCATGGCGCGACCCTCAGAGGTCTGGACCTATTCGCCGGGACCGGTTTTTCGCCCCGAGCCGTTTTTTGACTGTCCCGAGGGCCGGGTAAGGGCCCCCGGAGGCCGAAAACATAGAAAAACCTCCCGTCGTGATTTTTTCATGACTCGAGGGGGTCTGGGGGCGCAGGAGGAAGAGACGGGGAGCAGCAGCTCGGGGGCCCGTGCCGGCAGCCCCTCTGCTTGGATGGCCGCGGCGGTTGCTAAGTACTTAACATACTTACTACGGTAAGTTAAGTACTTAGTAAGTAGTTAGCGGACTTAGCTAAGTACTTACCCAGTCATTACTAAGTGGCCCACTTAGTAATGATTTAGTAAGTACTTAGCTATCCACTTATAACCAGTTAGCTAAGTGCTTAGCGCACTTAGCTAACCACTTATAACCGCTTATAGCTAGTTTGCTAAGTAGGTTATAAGTGACTTAGCGTTTACATTGCACTTGTTATCCAAGGGCCATGCACAGGGAAAAAAAGGTAAATCCACGTCTTGAAAGAGCTGAGTTTGTTCGTTGAGCGCTGCAGCGCTACAAATTTTGCATTTTGATTTGGAGTCGGTGTCCTGGATTTTTGCTTTAAATATGAGAAGCACTGCAGCGCTGCCTTCGGATTTATATGAACATGAAGCGCTGCGTGCGCTGAATATGAAGCGCTGCAGCGCTGAATGTTGAGTTAAATGCATGTTTTCTAGTTGCACGTTGTTCGGATCTTCATTTTCGCCCAGCTCCGTTTGCAAGGAATTTGAATGCACATGTCAATTATGTGTTGTTGTATTCGTTGTTTTTCAATGGTCGCATTGAGCGCTGCAGCGCTCCAAATTTGATAGCACGTATGTTACTTTGCGCTGCAGCGCAACAAAATGGTTGTCGTCGTGATGTCGCATCGCGCTGCAGCGCGTGCGCGCTCGTGCTTCATGGGCCTCGGGCTGCAGCCCAGATCAACATTTTTGCTCGCAAGTTGCATGTCCATGCAAGTCGATGTTCACGCGCACGCCGCGCGACAGCTTGTCTCAAGCTGCGGCCGCGCGCCGCATCCGCCGTCGCGCCCGCGGGCTCGCACGTTGCATTCGGCGCTATATATAGCGCTGGCATGGCGCTGCAGGCGCGTCAGGAGGAGCAGATCTTGCAGTACATCGAGGAAAGCAATTCCTCGGGGAGGTTGGCATCGGGGTGGGATCAACTGAAGGAGTTCCTGCTGGCGGAGGGGCTAGCGTATTACCAGCAGGTCCCACCGAACCAGATGGGCATCGACATTCGGAACCGCAGCGGTTCGTTAGTGAACCCTGCGCGGGCTCACAATTTAGGCGCGAAGATTTGCGCCCAGGGCTTCGTCTTGGCCAAGACGGCTGCAGCCACTGCCTTCGAGGCCCCGCAGGGGGCGCAGTTGGAAGAGACCGCGATGGCGAACGACCGCCTTTCGCGGCTCAGCGGGGGTCGGTGCCCCCCGCTGGACTCATTGCGGTATACGTCAGTGGGCGGCTCCCACACGAACGTCTTCCTCCGCTGCGTGCTGGCCAAGGCGCCGACCACAGTGAAGGCGCTGGCAGACTCTCGGGGCAACATCGATTCCGAAAAGCTGCGCGGGTTGCATCCGCAACTTGCGACGGCAGTCAAAAAGGGCCTGACGTGGTTGATCATCAAGCACGCGGTGGCCAAAGTGAAGGGCCTCAAGAACTTCGTGCAGAGGGCTTTGAACGCCGACGTCAGGGAGGCGGTTCACGAGACCGAGATCATTCGGTCAGGCTGCAGCCTATCCCCTATAGTATATAGCGGTATGTAGTAAGGACCAAGATGATGCACGAGGAGGGTGATGAGTGGGAGCGCGTTGGGGGGGAGGTGAGAACGAGGAGCAGGAGCATTATATCTTACAGTGCTGCAGCACTTGATCGGCTCGGCGCTTGCTGCAGGCAGGTGGGCGGATGCTCTTGGCACACAGCCTCGCTGAGGGTTCCAGCAAGCCCGATTGGCGCGACATCGCCGAGCAAGCGGGCCACGCGAACCCACCTTGCAAGGCGTGGATCGCTGACTTGTGCAAGTTTGTTGAGCTCGGGCCACAAAACGGAGAACTTCTCCGTGAAATAGATGAAGCCCTCAAGACCTTCACGAATGTGGACGTCTCGGGGCAAACTTTGATGTGCGGCTCTGAATTTTGGCGCAAGTTGAATTCGATTAAATGGGGGAAGCACCAGGAGTCGCACCCGCATGTCGTAGCGGCGCTCGTGAAGGCCAACTATTCAGGCGAGCACGTGGTGGATAGCATGTGCAGGACCATCCATAAGCTTGTCGGCGCCCCCTTGTAGTGACATGCGCTGCAGCGCATCTATGCATTGCGCTGCATTGTTAGAACTGCGTGCCCACCCCTCCCCCCTCCCCACACACACACACACGCACCGTTACATTGCTTTATTCCCAAACGCAATCGCTGAAGCGATGGGCGGATCAAGGCAAACGAGATCGTCCACGTCGCGTCCCGCAAGGCGGACGTGGCTGCGGCCGACAATCTCATGGCCGACGCAAGGTCGCTCGTGAAGAGGTTGGATATCGGAGCGGAGCAGGGCTTCTTGCACATCACAAAGTTGGATGTCCGCTGTGCCATGTACCTGGTGAAGAAGCGAGCGCCAGGAGACCGCACTTTCGGATGCGTAGCAGATATAGCACAGGTATCTTCTCACGCCACCTTTCGTGTGCTCCTTGTTTCCCTCCCTCCCTGCTTTTCGCCATTCAATGTCGCTGCAGCGACCCTCCAGAGAGGTCTTCCTCCATGAGCTCGGGGAGCCAGCCCAGCTGCAGATGAAGAGCTTGGGGGTCGAGTTCGGCAAGGCGGTGCAGACCGACAAGCAAGGCGATGGCGCGCCCGAGTTCCCAGCGAGCGCCGATGCAGACGCGCCGCGCTTGGCAGCGTCGTCGGCCGCTGAGTTGAAGAGCAACGTCTTCCGCATGCGGCGTGCAGGGTTCGACGTGGGGAAGCACATCGTCCAGAAGAAGGAGGTGGATGACGTCTTCGAGGTGCTCTCCATCTCGGAGAATGGGATCACCGCTCAGAAGAAGTTGCACGGCGACCTGGTGGGCGAAGAGATCTCCATTGCGTGGCTGCAGCCACCCCGCCGCCCGTGGGGAGCAGGGAGGGGGGAGGAGGAGGTTGTAACTGCGATATTGTATTTCCTGTACTTAAGTTGCAATGGGTTGGTCGATGCGCTGCAGCGCACGGAGCAGTTAGCCGAGCGGGCGGATTGAAGTAAACATATTGCTCGAGAATTACAAGTTGACGTCCAGGGTGCAGGAGCAGTTGCCGTTCACGAAGGAACACTTGCCGCCAGCCCACGAGGGTTGGGCGATGGACGCGTTCAAGGGGGCATGCAACATGGCGCTGCGGCTCCAAGCGCTGAAGTACCAGGCGAACATTTTGCACTTGGAGATCCTGCAGGACCCACCTGCCGTGCGCTGCAAGCGAGCGTTCAAAGTGGGTGAGCTCGTCAGACTTGTGCTTCCGCAATCGTCCGCGCCCCCCTCCGACGACGCCGCGCTGCAGCGCTGCGCTGGGCACGAGGTAGCGAGGATTTCGGGGCACGTCAGGCCGTAGCGACGAGGTCAGTGACGTTACCGACTGCGCGCCATGTAGCTCCACGCGGTGGGAGTGGTCGCATTTCAGCCTCGTCCACGCGGGTCAGCACGGGCTGCGTTGCGGAGAGCATCTCGTTGGGGAAGGTTGGCCTCTACGAGTTCTTCGTGGGCCCGCAGTTCGCAGGGCCCCCCGCTGAGGGGTCGCGGGGCCCCGACGCCTTTGTCAGCCCCTTCTGGGTGGTGGCAAAGTCCGACTCAGAGCCAAACATGGAGCTCCGAAAGGAGACCGTGACGTTCGGGACAGGCGTCAACAAGGTGCAGGTGGGGGTGCCCCAGATGCATAACACTTGCGCCCTGTCCGCGGGCGACTTCCCGGTGGTGAAGCCGTGGCCGCGGCTGCAGCCGCGGCCAGCCAAGAAGCTCAGGGCGGCCTGAGCTGGCGATATAGAGGGACCACGCGGGAGGATGAGGCAGGAGGGAGGGGTGCTGCGGAGGAGGAGGAGGAGGAGGCAGGGTAAGGTTTGGCATAGGGAGGAGGATGAGGGGGCTTAAGGAGCGGCGAGCGCACATGACGGCACCGAGCGTGGCCCTCCGATTGGTGTAAACAGTGTGCGGGTTGGTGCGAAGTGCGATACTTGCCGCGGCGCTGCAGCGCGCGGAACGATTCGTTGCGCCAGCATCGTCGCTGCAGCGACTGTACAATATTGGTGCTGACATCAGCCTTTCCCACAGACATGCCGCTGCAGCGGCTTCGTCATCACTGTTGTGCTCGATGTGATCGTTGCTCTTCGCTTCATCTTTCACATGCGCTGCAGCGCACCTCATCATGAGCACCTCGTCCGCGCACATGTTGCCTCATCACTCCATCGCAGCAATTTTGGCGCTGAAGTGCGACCGCGCTCGGGCTGCAGCCTCGGCGCGCCGCGCGCGCGATGACGACGATCAAGCGCGACTGCGTCGTGCTGCACGACAACCGTACGGGGCGCGAGCTGGTCGCGGCCGTCGAGGTCATCGGAGACCGCGAGTGTATCACCGTGACCACCGCAGGTTGGAGCAAGTGGGCGTGCGGCAAGGCTCAGGGCTTGCGAGGCACGATGTTCCCAACGTGGCTGAAAAATCAGCGCGCCGCGTCGTCGGGGCCAACGGCGCCGACGACGCTCTTCGCTGCAGCGGAGCCAGGCCGCCGCCCGACCACGCGGTCCGGCCGCGCCAGTCGCCAGGTTCCAGTGGACATGTGCTTCAAGACAGTGCAGCTGCCGCCGTTTGGCGATACTGAGGCAACAGAGCTGCAGATTGTCATTCCCCCACCTCATAGGGGGGAGGGACAAGCTGCAGGTGGTGCTGCACGAGAAGGGCGTAGAGTACATCAAGGCCAAATTGCTTCAGGAGGCGGCGGAGGCGGCAGAGGCGAGCACGGTGCTGAAGCGCCCGCGGCGCCACGAGACCGACGTTCCTTGCGGCGCCCGCATCTATTGGGTGCAGCGGCTCCAAGCTTGGCGGGCCGTCCGCACAGACTGCGGTTGCAGCAGGACGGCCTTGTTCCGCACAAACCGCGGCTGCAGCAAGGATGACGCTGAAGCGGCCGCGGCGAAGTGGTGCACCGCCGAACTCAAGGATTGCGAAGCGGATGAGCTCCAGGAGATGGAAGCGGAGGCGGAGGGCGATGCGGAGGAGGAGGAGGCCGACTCGGACTGAGCTGCGGCGCGCTCGGTCGACCGCATCGCTGGGGCGTGCGATCACGGTCGGCAGTGCGATTGAGAATGGCAGCGAGGAGGACGAGCACGAGGACGAGGGCGAGGAGGAGAAGGAAGAGGAGGATTGGGATAATAATTGCGGATTGTTGGTGGATCCCCCCAATGTTCGCTACTGTTGGTGTCATTGCGAATCGTTGGTATGATCAAGCGTGCTGCAGCACGACGACACTACGATCAAGTGTGCCTCTCACGCGTTGCCGCCGTCGATGTGTGACCTCACGGCGCTGCAGCGCTGACTTACGTTTCGTGTGTTTGGAGTCCATCGTGCTGCAGCGCTGATTTACGTTCGGGTGCATGGCGTGCCGATATCAGATTTTTGCGTCGCGCTGCAGCGCTGACTTACATTTTGTGTGTCTGGCGTGTTGATGTAGCGCTTCGATCGCGCTTGCAGCCCGCATGTTCGCTTTATGTTATTGCATGTGGTTCGCAGCCACTTGTGATCAGAACATCAATGGCTGCCAACATGAGTGCAGCGACGCCGCCATGGCGGCTTCCCTCGGAGCCAGTGCCGCCGCCGAAGGCGAAGTCCGCTGCATCGGATGCGACATATGCGGCTACTCCCCCTCCTCCGCCGCCGCCGCCGCCACCACCGCCTCCGACGTCGACGAGGACCGCGGCTGCAGCCGCCAGTGATGTGCCAGCCCCGCGCGCGGCTGCAGCCGCGCGCAAGCGCGATGCTGATACCAAGGTTGGCATGTGGAAGCTTGTGTGCGACATGATTCGGGCAGCGCTTCAGCGCGGGGACCGCGAGGCAGCGTTTGCGCTGGCAGTCCAATACCACGTCGCGAAGAAGCCGCGGACGTGACGGGCGCGCGGCGCGCGCGCGGTCAGTGCTGCAGCACCACTGTGTCAGTCGGATACAGCATCGCGACGGCGGCGACGGCGACTGAGACAACGACGACGGCGTTAAAGACGACGTAATTCAGAGCAGTACATGCAGGAGAAGAAGGTGGAGGGAGGATGATGATGAGGAGGAGGAGGGTGATCAGGAGGACGACGACATTGAGGACGACGTTCTGGAACGCCCTCATTTTCACAGGTTCCCACCGCTCGCTGCCAGCACCTCGGAGCAGGGGAAGGGGGAGCAGGATGATGATGATGATGAGGAGGAGGAGGAGGAGAAGGAGGCCGAGGACGAGGAGTATGACGAGGAGGAGGGGGAGGAAGACAACCAGTTGGCACCCATGCCCCGCCCCCCCGATCCTTCTGCCTATTCCTGCCTCCGCATACTCCCTCTCCTCCTCCTCCTCCTCCTCCTCCTCCTCCTCCTCCTCCTCATCCTCCCTCTCATTCTCCTACTCCTCCTTCTCCTCCTCCTTCTCCTCCTCCTCCCTCTCCTTCTTCTCCTCCTCATCAGTGTCCTCCTCCTCCTCCTCCTCCTTCTCCTGCCCCCCCTCCTCCCCCCCCTCCTCCTCTCCCTCCAATCCTCCTCCTCCCCCTCATCCTCCTCCCCCTCCTCCTCCTATCCTGAGGGGGCAGCCCTGGGGAGGTCAATCCAGTCGTTGGCCTTCGGAGGTTCAGTTGGGGGTGATGTTACTTTGCGGGGTGATGTCACTTTGGGGGGTCAGTCGATTGGTTAGCAGGGGTCCGTCGTCGTCAGCGTCGTCGTCATCGTATTCGTCGTTGGCACCGCCGCTGTTTTTGTTCCGTGCAGCTGCAGCTGCAGCTTCGTGCGCTGCAGCGCCCGCGCGCCGCCCTGCGGCGCCCACGCGCCCGAGCTCAGCTTCAGCTGCAGTGATGGGACTGGTTTCCACCACCACTATACCATATGTTGGAGAAGGAGGAGGAGGAGAAAGAAGAGGAGGAGGAGGACCTCTCCCTCCAACTTATGGTACTGGTGGTGAAAACCAAGCCCATCATGCAGCTTGGCGAGCTGCAGCCTCGCTGCGATGGCGTACCTCGACTACGACGAGGACTTCGAGGAGTTCGAGGCCGCGGCCACGGCGGGGCCGCGGCCTCCCTCGGCGCCGCCGCCAGGCGCGCTGCTGGCCAAGGCGCGGCCGCGACCGTCGCCGTACGGCAGCGTCGGCCGCGCCTTGGCCAAGGGCACGGGCAAGGACAAGGACAAGGACAAAGACAAGGACGGCGGCCCACCTTGCGCCTCGGGCAAGGGCAATGACAAGGACAAGGACGTCGGCGGCCCACCTTGCCAGGGCATGGGCAAGGGCAAGGACAAGGACAAGGACGTCGGCGGCCCACCTTGCAAGGGCAAGGGCAAGGACAAGGACAAGGACGACGGCGGCCCTTGCAAGGGCAAGGGCAAGGACAAGAGCAAGGGCGGCAAACTTGTCCAAGGGCAAGGGCAAGGGCCAGGGCGGCGGGGCGGCTGGTTCAACAGGGCGCAGCGGCTCTGCGAGCTGCTGCTGGCGGGCGAGTACGCCGCCGCCGCCGCCCTGGCCGAGGAGTACTACGCTGGCCCAGCAGAGGTCTGGGTCGGCCAGGGCGGCGGCGGCGGCGAGGAGGCCGCCGAGGAGGCGCTGCAGGCGCCGTGGGGCGCCTGAGGAGGCGCAGGCGCCGAGGAGGGCGCCGAGGGCTGCGCGCAGGCGCTGCAGGCGCCGAGGGCTGCGCGCGGGCGCTGCAGGCGCCGAGGGCTGCGCGCGGCGCCTCCCTCAGGCGCCTGGCGCTGCAGGCGCGGGCGGCGCCTCCCTCAGGCGCCTGGCGCTGCAGGCGCGGGCGCCAACATGAGAGCCGCGGCAGGTCGGGCCGCCGCGGAGCATCCAACTTGGGCGACGGAGAGGGTGGACTATAGTAGAGGTAGAGGTAGACAGGGGGAGAGGGTGGACTATAGTAGAGGTAGACAGGGGGGAGACGTAATCTTCATAGGGAATGCGAGGGGGACAATGGAGACGCAGCGTGGGGGTGGAGTGAAGACACATTGGAGAGAGACGGTAGACAGGATGCCCGCTGCAGCGGGTATCCACTCTCCCGTGAGCGAGGGGGACAACGAACGCATAGTGATAGGATACATGCTGTAGCAACCCAACATGTAAGATCAATGGGAGCAATGGGGGGGGTGGATTGGATCAGTTCGCGAGCATAGCCTGCCGACGCATGCATGTGTTTCAGGCCAGGTTATATTTCGTGCGCCAGATCGCGTGGTGCGCCCGCGCTGTCGCCCAGAAAGGCGCTCCGATATCCTCATCACATCTATCTGCCATCGTCGACGTTCACATCCTGATCCACTGACACTTTGTTTTGCATGGACTGATGTGCCAGGGGTCGGCCTTGGATTGGCCAGGAAAGTTTGGGGGCACTTGGGGGGTCCTGGGGCACTTCAGATGGCAAACAGTCTCGCATCGCATCGCCCTTCGCCACTCTCCCTGCTCCCCTTCAGCACAGTTCGTTGCGCCGCCGAGTAGCTCCCCCCATGGCCTCCTGGCAGCCTCACCAGCTCCCATCAGCCTTGTCCTCAGCAGTCTCGAGCCATCGCGACGCTGCTGCAGCAGAGCCGTGAGCGTAAATCTTTGCAGTTGACAGCGGTGTCGGCATCGTCAACCTCGTCGCGACGCTGCTGCAGCAGCGCCGCGTGATGTACTTCGCGCATCTCTTAGTTTCACTCCCACCTCGAAATCAGCAGTGTGGACAGTGGTCTGGGACTGCGTGGGTGGGCGTTGGGGTGGGCTGGAGTGCTGGATGTTGGCTTCAGGATGGCTGATATGAGGTCGAACGGGAGCTTCGGGT